TATTATTGTGTTCTTCAATGGAATAAGAATTCAAAGTTTTCCCCTGAGTTTCTAAAATTTCCCTTGATTTAAAGAGACTTTTTTCCAAAATGCAGTGCAGGAAGGGACATCATAAAGCCATGCGTGTAAATGAGGCTGAGTTTGGTGCTAGAAAACTCAGTTTCATATGATCAATCAGATCCTTGTAACTTAGGAAAGTGACCCCCAATGTTGGGAGCCACTTGATATCCAAGATAGAGTTCTTGGGTTAGTTCAAGAAAGAATTTAGGAGCAAGCTGAAAGAATAAAGCAAAAGCAAGATTTATTCAGAAACTGTGGAAAGCTAGAAAGTCTACTTCACAGACGGAGCAGAGGCTAGCTTTCCCTGAAAAAGAGAACAGGTCAGAGCAGAGGATACCAGGCTTGCACATAGAGGACCAGCCCCCTAGTTTCTGTTGCCCTTCTGTTTAAGCAACAGGCTAAATGAGGCTCCCCTCATGGAAGGGCAGTGTTTCTCCACTATCTTGGTTCTAACAGTTGGAACTTTTGCCTTTACCTTGTTTTGATCAAGGCCATCAGAAACTTTGAGACTTTGTGATTTAGTCCATGCGGCAGCAATGCCCAAAGAAATGCCTATGCAATGCTGTACCCAAAGCAGTATCTGCCAGTTCCCTGTCTCACTTGGGGCTGGTATGGGGCAGAAACCCCATCTGTCTTGTTCGTTGCTGTCTCCCTGACACCTACATAAGGGTAAGAATAATAATAGTGATAATAACTATAAAATATAACTAACATCTGTTGAGCACATTAGATGCCTGAAATACCAATTTGAAAATTCCAGTCCTCTTGATGGATCTTTTCTTGCAGGGACAATGAGGACAGCAGGCTGGCAGAGCTTGGTGACACTTGCCTTCGTGATCCCCTAGCCAGCTACCCCAGCTCTGATTTTATAGCTTAAGCTACTTCCTGTTGTGTTTTGGGTCCCCAACTAGACTTTTGTATAGAAAACAGAAAACATTCATTGACCAATCTGTATACCACCTGGCAGGTTTATTTCTCACTGTAACTTAATAAATGAAAGTTAATTTCATATGCGTTAATTTCAAGTGAGTTATTATTGT